ACACACANACACACACACACACATATATATATATATATATATTTATATATATTATGATTATGTATATATATATATATACAATATACATCTATATATATATATGTATATATGGGTGTTTGTGAACAGAATTTAAAGTACATTATACTCCTATGTTGCTTCCAGCGCTGAAATAGGCGCTTATTCATAAATATATGCTCTGGTCTAGGATACTATATATCTTACACCAATGATTATTCTATTTGTCAACACACAGCTGCCGAAGAACAATCGCAATGTGCTCAGAGTCTTGGTGCAGCATCTCAAAGGACTGACAGTTGAGACAGAGAGCAGTAAAATGAATGTAAGGATTGTGTGAGCATTCGGCTAGATACTACGTGTGTGCCCTGTCCCCGCGTTAGGAACAGTGTGCAAGTTGTGTGTCTGAATTGCTGCCAGTGTGCAGCTTCGTGTAAGCAGAGGCTAGTTTCTTACTGGCCGGGTAAGGAAGAGGTACATTTGTGTAAGTAGACAAACATATTTGTAGCGTGCTGATTGTTCCGGTCCGAACTCTGCCCGAAATATACTCGTACAGGCTCAGTCGTGTAAAAATATCATCACCCACCAAAGCACATGCACACGCGATTCTACGGTACACGTACTCCAGAGTAAAAGTTTAGCACAATTTGATCCGTACATTTGGCTGTTATCTCTGACACGTATATTAATATTCCGTGCATAATTGTGCGCCCACACATACGTGCTCACACGCAGATATAATACACATAGTATGCATGTACATATTTGTATGAATATACATAGCCATGTGGTAGGGAAATATACAATATAGTGAAAGTAGACTTCAACACTCTGCTTGCTATCATTCATACGCTATCTACTACAACAACGTCACACGCACTCCAACCCACTCACCCTTCACGCCACACCCACAGGCACACAACTTTGCGATAGTCTTTGGGCCCACTCTAATCAGCTGCAATGCACCGGCGGGCAGTGACGCGAACGAGATGATGGTAGAGAGTAACAAACTCTCTAGCGTTATTGAGGCTATGATTTTGGATCCTGATACCATATTTGGAGAGGTATGGATACGATGTAGGCTGTCAGTGTGTGGATAGGTGCTTGCTATCTCGTTTCGTTGTTGGTGGCACGTGAGTGTATGCGCACGAGGGGTTCGAGTTCTCATACTTATCTGCCGAGACAAACCTTGTTGCTCAGTCTACCGTACCACAGGGATACGTTCGCAGATTCGGCTATGCGAAGGTACATATTAGTGTACTGAAAATGCAATGTCTGGTACATATGGAAGCTGGGGTTATCTATATAAGCTATATAATTCCGCGTAGTTGAGACATTATACGCGAAACAGTTCTCCAGTTCTCTCGCACCCAATTTTCTGGCCACACAGGACACGACTACGGCCTTGCAATCGGTTAACGACGTGTCATCAGCTCTGGAGAGCGGTGCGAGCATCGAAGAGACCAATTCAATTGGCATAAATGTAGCTGGAAGCTCCGATTCAATAGAGTCGCCAGCCGCAGGGACCACAGCAGATCACACTCAAGTCAAGCAAGACAACAACTACGAACAAACACACGAACAGGCACACGAACAAACGGGGACGGACGCACATACACAGGCCAAGAGTCAAACACAGGCAGAAGCAGATTCACAACCACAGACACAGACGCAGACACAGACACAGACACAAACCCAAACACAAACACAAACGGAAACAGAAACGCAAACAGAAACAGAAACGAAAACAGAGGGTAGTCCGATGGTTGCCGTACCTCCCGCAAGGCCTGCGGAATCGCCGGGACTCTCGCCGTCTGTGACGAGGTCGCAGTGCGCACAGCCCCTGGGCCCAACGAGTAGGACCAGGACGGCACACGTCGGCAGTGAGGAGGCGGACGAACTTAATACTGGCACAATAAACAATAACACTAACTTAGATAAAGAAGCCGAAACTGCACGCACAACCACGCAGACGGAGGCACATGTCGACATACACGGCGACATACACTCCAGCCCGCCACCAAGGCCCCACGAATCACCTAAGCCACGCAGGACTTCGGCAGCGGCTGTGCACACGCCACAGCCTGTTGATACCCCCTCGCCAGTTACTAGGGCTGCGCACAAGGCTATACTGGTGACTGCTCTGGACTTTGGCCCAGGGGCAATATGGAGTCCTACTTCCGATGCATCTGCACAAACACCTGAACAGACGAAGACTGAGTCTGTATCTGTGACACAGGAAGAGACCACGGATGGTATTACCGAAACTGTCAGGAACACATTGGTTGCCGATGGAATGATACCTACTTCTCCAGATAAACCAGCAAACATTGCGGAGGGACAAACAGAGGAGTCCAAAGCTGATAGTTCAATATCACATATAAATGTACCATCGACAGCTCATAGGACTGGACCACCTATGCCACCGGAACCATACGCAATCACCAAGCAACGGCGAGCGAGTGCCATGCCATCGGTCAATACCCAGATGTCTGATGATAGTATAATTGCGAGAAGCAAGTTGAACCGTACGCATAGTTTCGAAGGCGTGCCGGACGGCAAAGGGAGAGAGGGTCGTGGTGTGGAGGATGTAGCTGAACGGTGTAGTGGCGATTTCGAACCCAAGATCACATACACGGCTGCATTGCCGAGCGTCGACACAGGGGCGGATACACCAACGCGTGCACGGGAAGAGAGTTTACCGAGCGAGGAAGTTCCCAGCATACCTGCACAAGATTCTGTGGGCAAGCAGGAGCCAGAGCCTACAGTAGAACAACAGGCACTGGTGATTACACCTGAGGACACCAGCGCGGATAAGGATAGTACGGGAGTGGGTGAACAGACAGCGTGTGGGAAGGTGAGTGGAGGTATGACCCCAGTTGAGTCTCGTGGGAGTGAAGGGGCAGAGACGCCTGCGGAAGGGCATGCAACCGCTGGACAGGAGTGTGCGGAGGATGAATCCGCCATCAACGAGAACGCGGATGGCTGTACGAGCACAGAAGTAGTAGAGCCTTCGGGAGAACTACAGGATGATTGGGATAGTAAATCGGTGTCTCCCAAGGCGGATCTATCGGCTTCGAGTACACAACAAGGGAGCGATGGCGAGGATCTGGGCAAAGACACCGAGACGCGCGCCAGTGAACTGTCTGAGATGGAGGTTCAAGAAATAACTGTGGCTGCGGAGGATGCCGACAGTACTCTATCACTACCAATGAGCGAAGGTGTTGATATTCATGAACCCTGTGCCAGGACAACGGGCGATCCTGCACACGCGAATGAGAGCTGAGTGTAGGGGTACAGACTAAAAAACCAAAGGAAAGATAGCACACCATGATACCAACCTCTCCCTATTTCTTATCGGATTCCAGATCATATATTCTGAAATATTTTATCGTCATTCCGGACCTAATCAGACATTTCGAATTGGAGAGGTTATCATGCCCAAAAAAAACTGCCAATTTTATCCACACGCAGATGGCTGACATACAGTCCTTGTATCCTTAGTCTTGTTGGCATATTGGTGAATACAATGGATCTATACATATTAGTTGTTCCCGACTTAAACTCGATAACTTAACTGTATGCTATTTGCCCATACCACCTACCGATGGCAGGCGTACATACACTGGTATTCCGAGCTTTAATAGCACATCGATGAATTTAATACGTGATACCAACGCGCCAGGGGTTGAGTTGAAATTTCTTCACACATAACTCGTAATCGAATGCGGAACGAAGCCAGAATACAATTCGCTATCGTTTCGCAAGCAATTGTACGAGGTCGTCCTCATAAGGCGTGACGCAGAATTTTTTTTATTCCACGCCAATTCAGGAGACAACTTTTTTTTACACAACACAGAACTACACACACACACACACACACACACACAAACAAGCAGACACACACACACACACACACAAATACAAACAA